ACGGCGCGCCTTTGATTAGTGCTATCGGGAGCCCGTTAGCATGGCTGGAATGTAAACATTTTCTTCCTGTCCTCAGGCTGCCAGTGCGATGTCGGTGGCTCGGTGGGGCCGGCCTGCGAGGAGCGCACCGGAGCCTGTCCCTGCAGGCAGAGCACCCGCGGCGCCACGTGCACCCAGTAAGAGCCCAGAGCCACCCACATGGGGCTCACTGCATGCGTGTTGGTGGGAGATCCCCATGTACCAGTCTGTCCCCTAGCAGGTGATGGGCCTCCAGCCGATGGATGCTCCACATCCCGTTTCTTCTCCCTGAGGCCACTCTGTGCCAGGTGCCTCATCTCCTCGGCACTACCTCACTACCTCATCAGCATTGATCCCAGAGGAGGTTTCCTCTGGCCCATGGTGTCCCCGAGCACCCGTGAGGAGCCACTCAGGCCAGGGTGCTCTCCCCAAGTAGGACAGGCTGATGTGCAGCCCGCAAGTGTCGCCACTAATGTCAGCGAGCTGAAGGGGGCATTAGCTGGGGAGGTGAGTGCTTTCCCATCCGGGTAATGGTGTTTCCTCTCTTCCCCAGACCTGCAAGGGACCATTATTTTCCTGACCTTCACCACTTGAAATTCGAGCTGGAAGAAGGCACCACGCCGGCTGGCCGGTCTGTGCGCTTTGGCTACAACCCTCTGGAGTTTGAGAACTTCAGCTGGCGAGGATACGCGCAGATGTCTCCCATCCAGGTACAACTGACGTCTCCATCCCAGCCTTGCTCCCCCCGGGGAGGATATGGATAGGATGGCCAGAGGGCTGACGTGCTTTTGGCACTCATCTTTCACCCCAAGTGCTTCTCAAAGCCTAGAAGTCACATGATGGCCAACATAAACAGTGCAGTGTATATATAGCCTGTTTGTGCAGAGATTTCCTGTAGTGCTAGGGGCAACATGGACTGATGAAAGATCCTAATTTGGGAATTCCCTGACATCCTATTCCGGTTAGACAAAGGTGGTAGCTTGGTAATTACTTACAGGGATGTCTATAAACGCTGTCTCTGGGTTTGCTTACGGCTCTTTCATCAGACTCTGTTCTTTCCTGCAACTTTCTGCATAACCTTCCCTCCCTTTTCTAAAAATAAAGCGGCTTCTTCTTGGCTGCCATATTCAGCTTGAACCTCTTGTTACTGCTCTGCCCAAACTCTTGCTGATAGATGATTTGCCATAAAAGTGGTTTGCACGACATTGGAGTTGTCTAAGCCCCAGAGGTGAAGTTATTTCATCTACTTGCCCCTTGATGGATTCTTCTTCTGCATGGCCCCTGTGAAAGTGTTGCTTGTGTGTCTGCCTGTATTTGGGAAACAGGATGTAAGGCAGGGATCTCTGACATGTTTTCTGTGTAGTCCTGTCTTGTATAAGATGTTGCTTATTCTGATGTGTGTATTTTCTGTTTCCTTCACTTTTTTCATGCTTAGGTGAAATAGCAGGGCCAGATATGTTAGCTATTTCCCATTGAATTTGTAGGCACTGGGGAGATGACAGACTCCTGTACACTCGAGAAAACCCCAGCCTTAAAGCTTAAGGATGAACCTCAAGGCTATAGCCCTTGCTTTGCATCCAGTGTTGCCATGTGAGATAGGAATAGGCCTCAACAGAAGGGCTAGCATGTGGCTTTCTGCTGGCAGATCTCTTCTGTAGTTTGCTCTACTGGTATGTAACTGGAGCTTTGAGGAACACAGTCTTCATTGGGAGCGTCCCCGGGCAAACCACTACTTTGTACTGTAGGCAGGAGGGTGTTTAAGCAGGTGCTTAGATCTCTCTGAAGTTGGTAGGACTTAAGCATCTGCTTAACTGGTGTCTTCTGGCACAACGGCAGGCAGAGGGTTACAGCACCCCTCAGTAGCCCCCTCTCTTTGCGCCAGCAGGCGTTAGCCTTGCAGGTTCCCGGGGTTGAGGCATGGGCTCCATTTGCAGCCTTCTCTGGAGGCATCTGGGCAGGAGACCAGGGGCAGGTGCTTCAGCATTCAGTACCTGCCCGTGGGTTATGGCACAAAGCCCAAAAGCAATATGATGCAGATAACAAGAGAAAGAACTTCTCAAAACCTTTCCTCTTGCATGAGATGTGCCTCAGCATAGCCAACCCACCCTGCTGCGTGAGAGCATCTTCCAGATGTTGTCAGAACTTTTCCATCCCCATCCCGCAGACAGATTGCTCCCTCCTTGGCCAGCCGTGGTTCAGTTTCTGGATGGGATGGGATCGTGGTGTGGGAACGCCGCGCCGCCTCGTCCCCGGGCTGCGTGCTGTGGCTAGTTGCTTGTCTCCTCCTTGTGCTTTGGCATGTTGCTTTGGGAGCAGTGCACCGAGCGGCTGCGCTTGGGCTGGCGACGGTGGAGGTAATTGAAGGTGTGCTCTGCTTCTCTCCCCTTTCTCTCTCCCACCAGCCCAAGGTAGTGGTGACTCTCAATGTGACCTCCCCCGACCTCTTCCGCGTCGTCTTCCGCTACGTCAGCCGGGGGCCCGCCAGTGTGCAAGGGAGGGTCTCGGTCCTTGAGGAAGGAAAGTTTAATGTGTGTGGCAACTGTAAGTGCATTTTTCACTTCTAGACTAACTCAGCCCATCCCACTCTGCAACGCTGCGCCTCTGGCCCTTCTCCTGCCCCCAGGTGTGCTGGTCCCAGGCGACCGGCCGGCGCGGCGCGATGGCCAGGGAGGGGGAAGTGAAACAGGCAGGCAGGCAGGTAGGCAGGCAGCTAAGGCTCTCCCGTGGAGCGGGCGAGCGGCCAGGAGCTGGCCCCACAGTGACGTGTGCCCGATGTGCTTTTTTGCTTTTTGCAGAATAAAGTCAGAGTCACTGTAGACGTGAAGGAGGCAGAGCTCTATCTGTTCCATGTCATCCTGAGGTATATTAATTCAGGAGGGGCCACTGTGTATGGCAAAATTACAGCTTATCAGCCACGAAAGAGAGGTAAGGATCGCAGACTGCTCTGCTCCCCCGCGCCATCGCCACCTCCTCCCCATCCCAGGCAACCTCCTGCATCATCTTTCTCAGAAGACACTTCCGTATGGCTTTATCCCAAAAGTCCTGCCCTTCTGACTCAAAGGCTGATTTAAGCCTGCAGCCCCCTCTTTTAACAAAGCAGCACCGTGGTGGCCCACTGTCCTGGGGCCGTGCAGGGTGAGGACTGGCACCAGCTAGGCTGTTGTTGGATGAGGCTTCTGTACATTTAGATACAGCTTTCCCAGCAAGGGACAGAGGAGTGTCACCCCAGTGGCCCAGGCAGAACTGAGTTGAGTTTCCACAAAATCAGAATGGACCAAGTGCTGGGAACTGGATCCAAACTTTGGCAGCTGGACCTGGTTTTATTTCTCAGATCCCCACCCACGGCAGGGCTGCCCCCACCTTGTGCTTCTCCCAAACCAGGCTGCTGGTTTCACGAGGGTGCCAGGTTTGGAAGTGGCATGGAATTGCACACGTTGTGCCGGCATTGCACTCTGGTGGTTAGTTGCTATCACGACGTGAGCCACTGAAGAGGAAGAAGAGCCAGAAAACATGACTGAAGAAGCCTCGAGACCTCTGCATCAAATATACTGGCAATCAGTGTGAGCAAGATCACAAGGGGCCAGAACTCAGGCTGTAGAAGTGCACTGGTGCACGGCTGTCTGATTGATTTTACTGCTCTGACAGCTCTACAGTCACGCTGTCCAGCTGAGGTTTTCCCTCTAGACCGCATGTGCACAGAGCAAGTCGACACAGGCTACCTGATTTATCAGTATGTGAAGTTCTTTCCCTTGTCTTGAGTTGATGTAGAAGACGTTTCGACTTGTGAACAGCTGGAGATGATATGCCAAGTTTGAAATGCCAAGAGATAATTTTTCCACTTTTTTTTTTTTTTGGGTGAAAAATCTGGTTATTTTCTGTGGCTAGTCATGTTACGCAGCAGAAAGCCAAGAGAAGTGTGAACCATCCTCATGCCTCAAGATCCCACCAGGGGTCTGGAAGGATTTAATCTTCCCTATCCAGTGGCAGAGCTCATTTGCTTTGTAATGTGCTTCCCTCCTTGCTCAGAAGCAACATTTGATTTCCTAGAACTGAAGGCAAACTGCCAGACTGATGGACCAGCAACGGAGTCCAGGAGGGCAGCTCCTTTGCTAGGCCAGATAGGCTCCAGAAATGTGGAGCCACCTTCTGCCTGGCTGGAATGGGCTTCAAACGGTGAAGGACATAGCCTGGAAAGAAACTAGCACACCAAGTTCAATTATTTAATCTCTCCCTGCCTGAAAAAGATTAAGTCCAAAGACCTGGCCTCTGAAAAGGGCAACTTCTTCTGAGTGTGTGATTTACAGACCGGTTTCTCCTACCCCACCTCCACAAACCATTTCAATTTGAGATGTGATTCCTTTCCAAGGGATGTCAGACTTCCTCTCTTTGAGACATCTACCCTTTGTTGCCTGTTCAGGGAAATGCTCTTCATCCTTTGCATCCTCACCTTCTTAGCTTCCTCTCTGAGAAAGTGAGAGCTTGGCCTCAGCTAATGATGATCACGTAATAGAGATAGCACACGTGGAAAGTGGTGACCAGTCTCAGGAGCAGCACAAGCCCTTGCCATAGCTTCTCTCCCTCTGCATTATGCCTTGATGTCCATGCACCACACCAGGATAGTCAGCAGCTGAGCATGTGAAGTTCCCCACTTCCTTCTTCATCTCATCTGCTCCCCATGCAGCTGTGTTCTTGGTGAATCTCTCTTGTCCATGCACTTGAAAACACTTCTGAGACTGTTAAGCAGGCAGACGGTCTGTTTCTAGTCTGTTATGGCATCCAAAGTTAATGAATTCAAAGGTTACGAGAATGTCATCTGAGCCAAGGAGCTGTTCAACAGCAGCAAGATCAGGCCTTAAATCCATTCTGTCCTGTCAGTTAAAATTAATGTCTAAATCTCAGCTGTAGAGAGTCGTGGCTGGCAAGAAGGACGGGAGCAAAGCTTGGGGGTCTGAGAGTTTGCCAGAAAACAGGTATCTGACCCAGGGAGCTGGGGTCAGAATAGCCCTGTGGAAAAACGTAACTGGGCAATTCTTTTTGTCTGTCTCGGAATAAATTCTTCATGGATGAGTTTCTTCCTTCTCTAGCTGATGAAATGCTCTTTGGCATGCAGTACTCCATGCTTTGCAGTCCAGGGATGCAAAGCACACCATGAGGGCTGTAGATTAGCATTTGTTTTCTTTTTCTCCCGTTAAGTTACTGGGCAGATTCCACGTGGACGTCTCTGTTACGGGTCAGTGTGGGAGTGTGGTGCATCTGCTATGGCAGCTCCAAGAAAGCACAAGCCCAGGACTCCCCGCTGCACTACAGAGCTGCTTCCCTGGCCGTAGCCTTCAATTTGCAGCCCCAGGTTTCCTGACCCCTCCCCAGGGCCTTCACAGCCTCTTGTCCTTCCCACCCCAGGTACAGAGCAGACCAAGCAGATCATCTTTGCTCCCAGCACGGAACCGGCCTTTGTCACTGTCCCCCAGAACAGCTTTGGGGAGCCCTTCGTGCTCAACCCCAGCACCTGGTCTCTGGTTGTTGAAGCAGAGGGTGTGCTGCTGGTAAGGACTGGCCTCCACGCACCAAGGGGGGCTTCCGCAGCCACCTAGGAGCATGTGTCCTGGACACGACACCCTCTCCCTTCTCTCCTCCTAGGACTATCTGGTTTTGCTACCCAGCTCATACTATGAAGCTCCGATACTGCAGCTGAAGGTCACAGAGCCATGTACCTACCAGCCAGCCCCAGAAAGAGCCGCCCAGAAGTAAGCATCTCCACGTCTTTGTGCTGTTTGGGACCTACTCAGCTCCTCTTCACCTGGGGTTAAGAAATACGCGCAGTCCACGCTCTGCGAGGTGGTGGGGCAGGAGTACCTTGGGTAATAGTTGGGTGAGCACCTGGAGCTGGCTGGGTCTGGCCACAGTAAGGCTGCTTAATGGAGCACTTTGCCATGGCTGATAACGCCAGCTGAACCTGGGCTGGCCCAGAAAGCCAACATGTCCGTCTCTGCATCCATAGCCCAGGTAGTCCCTGTGTTCTGCTCATGGACAGTAGAGAGCTGAATCTGCCAGTTAGAGCATAGCCCCTTCCTATGCTGGGCTGCATTCCCAGCACTGGATTGTGCATTGGTCACACAACCCTGGAAAACAGCTAGCAAAGAGTTGGTGCTTACTAAGCTATTTAAAATGAGTGGGATGTGCCTGGTCAGTGCTTAGTGCATGGTAGTGCATCTGCCTGCTCTGCCCAAGACCTCCCCACTGATGTTGCCAGGAAGTCTGGATGGGCTCTGGAGACTGGTCCCTCCCACACTGAGCGAGGATCCCTGGGGTGAAGGGCAGCACATTGCAAGGAGATAATCTTTTCACTGTTACTGCCCTTACTTGTCCTATAATACCCCACCTCTTCTTCCACACTAAGCAGGGATGCTCCTTTGGGCAGTGGAGCCCTCGTTTTCTACTAGAGCTTTTCTCAAATCTCACTAGGGATTGCTCTTGACTGCTCTACAATCTTGATGTAACCACAGTACTTTGCAAATCTTTTCCTAATGCTTTTAGCTGCCTCTTGTATAAGTACTTGTCGGTGGACGGCTTCCCTACTGCATCAGGAGTGGAGGCAGTGTGCAGGTTGGACAACCGGTTACCCAGAGCATGTCCCACAGAGCAGCTCACCCCCTCCCATCCCCGGATGGCAACATGCAGCGGCAGTGATGTGAGTAGCTGTTCTGTTCATCCCTCATGCAGACACTGCAGCGCTGATTCCTCTGCTCACGCTGTCATGTGCTTTACGTACACCAGGACAGGCTACCAGAGGGCTTTGCACCTGTGTGCATCCCCGTTTCCCCATCACTCTTGGAGCTGTGTGTCTGCATGCTCTGCTACTCAAGGCACCCAAAAGGAGTGTCTCCCATGCAAAGGGTTTGCAAGGACACACACGATGTGTAGTAAGAGTTCCCTCAGTCCCCTGCAGCCCGGGCTTGTACCCCAGAGAGCCTATAGCCCACAAGTAGCAGAAGGGAAGGTACCCTCTGCAGACATACAGCCACAGAGAGCTAAAACTTAAGGTATAAACCCAGAACAGATGAGCCCCGGCAAACCAGTAGTAGCATGTGCCTTGGAGTATGGCACCTCCTGCCCCGGTTCGTTCTGCGCAGGGACAAGGGGAGATTGCTTCGAGGACTAGAGCTGGGAATACCTTTTCAGTCAGGACTGCTTGAAATGCCACAAATGAGTGCTGTTGGGTATCTGTGCCTGTGAGAGGTACAAGCAGCAGTGGGGAGTGGGGGGAATGCAAGCTCCGTGGGGGCTGTGGGTTTGCTCCGCATGGGCGTTTTGCATGTGCTCACTGCGGGGCCGGGGCCGAGGAGACCCCAGCTCAGTTGTGACTCTCTCCTCCAGGTGGAAGTCCAGCTGTCTTTGCCTGTTCCCCGGCCCGGGAAATACGTGCTAGTGGTGGAATACGCCAACACCCATGCTCTGCAGACGGTGGGCGTTGCCGTGAGCTCGCCCCACTTAGCCATGCAGCAGGGCACGTTCACCTTCTACCCGTGCGTCTACAGGTACGGTTGGCTCCGAGCGAGAGGCTGAGAGAAAGAGCCGGGGAGGCTGGGTCAGTCCTTGCGCGGCAGGGCAAGGACAGAGGCCTCAGCTCAGCCTTTTCTGCTTTATCACATGAATAAAGCAATGCCGCGGTGTCGTACTTCTAAGCTGTGTATGGCTGAGCTCGCTCTAGCTGGGTACGGATTTTAGTGATTAGGTACCAGCATAGTCTGTAGTGCCTCAGCCAGGAGATAGTCTGTTGTTCCCAATTGCAGCTGGGTAAATTGGGAAGGGCCCCAATTTAGGGGATGGCCTACAGGAAAGTTTTTTGAAGCTACTGGTGCAGTTCAAACAGTCTGTCCCCTGCTGCACAAGCATCTGATTTCAGATCGCAACCTTTGCAATAGGAAACAAATGTCTGGGGTGTCCTTGGGATATTTCACTTATGACTTGCCAGAGAAGGCATCAAAGGCATCAAAAGATTTACAGGGACTTTGTATAAGTACCTTGAGGACACACAGCTGGCAAGACAAGAAATGGGTCATGACCCTGCTCAAGGCTAGCCTCAAAATCTGTTTTTTTCTTAGTTTCCTTTGTCGAGGGATGGCTGTAGATTCTCAGAGCCGCCTGGCAACTTTTGAACTTACCTCGGAGGCAACCATTCGGTTCATGGCTGATCAGGCTGACTTCTTCCTGGTAAGGCCTTCTGAGAGGACAGCTCAGTTTGCACATTGCAAGGAGGAGAGGGAGGAGGGAGAAGCAGTGCCTACCTTGGAGAAGGGCTTTCTGGTCCTGTTGAGACTGATCACTAGATCTACATCTATGTCATGAGCAGTCCAAGGTGGACAACGTGCTCAGCGATGTGTTTTGAGGTAGATTATGGGACTGGGAATTGGGAGATGATGGGAAAGAGAAGCTGCTCTTTGTAGAGGGGCTTTGCAGCAATGTGCCCGTGCAGCATCCTATTTTACCTGAAGGCATTCACAGCTGCTTAGCTGAGATTAGAAGGATCCCATCAAGGAGTGGAGCTCCTAAACACCTTAGGGCTTGCGCCCTGGAGGAAGGGACAGTAAATAGGGATGTGACCTGCTATGCAGAAACTAAGGGAACGCCTAGCATGGTTGGCCAGATCTGTTGGGGTACAAAAGCAGCTGTAGGCTCCCAGTGGTAGGGAATGTGGTGTAACCAGGCCTCTCTTTCTTTCCTGTGCGGCAGTACCAAGTGTACCTCGTACCTGCTGCACAGTTCACCATGGAGTTCGTTGAGCCGAAGGTGCATTGCATCAGCATCCATGGCACGTTCTCCTCCAACAGGTAACAGGGTCTCAGATGCCTCAAGATTTTAGCACGAACGTGGCTGTTTCCAAAAGCAATTGCTTTCCCCCGCTTGCCTCAGGTTTGGTGCCTCTGAGCTCTTGACGCAGGAGAAAGAATTCTCCACGGCTCAGGAGGCTGAGGCAACGCGCCTTGCCCACATCCACCAAAGAGGCAGTGATGGAGGAAGGACTGAAGCCAGCTTACTGGTCCTTTACCTGAGCACCACACTGCATCGCCTCCTGCGGCGCATACTGAAGTGCCATCATGAAACAGGCTTTTCTCTGATTACTTGCATACAGCAAGAGACAGTCACTGTACCCAAATGCTTGCCACTGCTCTGAATAAATATTTGCAATATGTGCAAGATTCCTCTTCCTCCTGCTGAGCGCGTTATCCTGAAGCCACCGAGGGTCGCTCAGAAGGCTCTGTCTCAGCAGGCATGCTTTGTAATCAGACAGGTGTTACAGGGCACCCCTCTCCTGCCAGGACCCTCGGCAGCTTCTGTCTTTCCTTATCGGGGATCTTTACATCATGTTTTCTCCTTCCCTCGCAGCAGTTCCTGTGTTCCCTCGCGGTTCCTGAAACTTTCTCAGTCAATCGTTTTGGAGGGAGGCCAGGCACTGCCCATCACCCCTGACACTCCCCTGGCTCAGGCGGTCCACATTGCTCCAGCCAGTGTCCCCATGGAGCCTGCACCTCGGCCTCCCACTGCGGTGGACTCCTCAGCAGAGCTCATCCTCCTGCAGCCCCCGCAGGTAGTGACGTGGGCACGGGGTGGGCTGCTTTGCCGGAGCTGCGTGGGCCATGCTGCAGCGGGAACGCGGGCTGCCCCAGCGCAGGCACCAGAGCACGTGGAGAAGCTCCCCTTCTCTATGGTCATTAGCTCTTAATTTTCATCAGGGATTTAGAGTTGTGCCTGAGCCTGTAATTCCTATGGACTCTTCTGTCTTACCTCCATCTGACCCTACTTGGTTCCCTAGGCTCCCGTAAAAAGCTTTGCAGGTCATGCAAAAAGCTTTGCACCATTCAAGAGAGGAGGGGGCGGTTAACCGTGAAGATGTGTTGGGGGTCAAGTTGCCAAAAGTCTCAAGAGTGTGTGACTGTTACCTCACGTTTATGCAATAAAAGCACAAATTTGTGCAATAATAAAAAATATTCTGGATGTGAGTGCAGATGTCCAATGTGGTTTCTTGTGCCTCTGTTCTCCTGTTTTGGGCTAGGCTGCTGTTGTGTTTAACAGTCGGATCCAGACGCTGGGACGCTACGCTTTCATCCTGCATTATTACCAGCCCAACCATCCCACCTTCCCTGTGGAGGTGTTAATCAACGGTGGACGCATTTGGCAAGGTAAGAAGAGCTGGGACCTGGGAGAAGTTCCTGGAAAAGGAGCCTCAGAAACCTTTGTCATGCCAGATGATAACTGCAGGTTCTCTGAGGAATGTGAAAAACAAAATGTGCCTGACTAGTCTCTTCTGTCCCAACCAAGAGTGGAAAAAGAGGGCAGCCAAGGTGAGACAGCTCTGGTCAAGGGTGTGAGATGTCCTCCTCATTTTCTGTCATTTTCAACTATTTCAATTTGGAAACCCTGAAAAAAATGTGCTGTAGGGGTTAGGACCTCCATGTAGCCAACTGCAGCCCACTCACAGTAGAGTTACTTTTCTTCACCAGTTACTGCACACCCCTCAAAAGCAGTCTGGGAGGCCCTTCGGGGTCTGCAGGCCACTGGTTCCTAGCAGAAAAGGCCTAGGCAAGGGTGACTGGCTGGAAAGGAGATTCCTCTGAGAGCGGGTGGAGGGGGTGGTGGGGACTGCAAGGGAAAAGGGGCTCCAATAGGTTTGTTGCTTTTCAGGTGAGACCAATGCTACTTTCTGCCCACATGGCTATGGGTGCCGGAGCCTGGTAGTTTCTGAGAACCAGATTATCCTGGATGTTACCGACAATGACCTGACTGTGATTGTGCGAGTGCCAGAAGGCAAGCAGCTGTGGCTGGTAAGCCTCTCTCCAGGAAACGCCAGGTGCCTGCTGGAGGAGGCTCCAGCAGGGCTGGAGTTTGTCCTTGAGGATTTTTGCTGTTGTGTGACCAAAGGAATGTTTCCCACCATCACTCAGTTTCCGCACTATCCTGTAAAGCCGCAATCGTAAACCTACTTAGTGGTGCAGCAATGAGGGCAGAGTTTGCTGTGTATGACACCGTTTTCCCAGTGCTGTGTGGTTTCAATACCAAAGCAAGGTGGAAATTGAAGCTATTGCTTTGCATAGCTTGCAATAATCCAGAATAAACTTTCTTCCTGCCCCAGAGTAATATTTGGCGCCTGTACGGCATTGTTTGTCCAGGCATGTCTTATCATGGGAGCAGGTAGTCCTTGTTATCCTAAACTCAGGCACAGAAAGTCGATCCTCCCCCTCTACTCAGCCCTGGTGAGGCCACACCTGGAGTCCTGTGTCCAGTTCTGGGCTCCCCGGTACAAGAGAGATGTGGAGCTACTGGAGCAAATCCAGTGGAGGGCTACTAAGATGATGAAGGGACTGGAGCATCTCTCCTATGAGGAAAGGCTGAGAGAGCTGGGATTGTTCAGCCTGGAGAAGAGAAGCCCAAGGCGGGATCTGCTCAATGCGTATAAGTATCTGAAGGGAGAGTGTCAAGAGGATGGGGCCAGACTCTTCTCACTGGTGCCCACTGATAGGATGAGAGGCAACAGGCCCAAAGTGAAACACAGGAAGGTCTGCCTGAACCTGAGGAAAAACTTCTTTACTGTGAGGATGACTGAGCACTGGCACAGGTTGCCCAGAGATGTTGTGGAGTCTCCATCCTTGGAGGTATTCAAAAGTCATCTGGACATGATCCTGGGAAATATGCTCTAGAAGACCCTGCCTGAGCAGGGGGGTTGGACTAGATGATCTCCGGGGGTCCCTTCCAGCCTCAACCGTTCTGTAATTCTGTGACTAAAAGACTGAACAAAAACTGGATAAATGGCTGAAAGACAGAACTGGAACCCAGGTGACTTTGTAGCTAGGAGCTGAAGGTGAGAGTGACTGCCTCCATGCTGAAGCACAGCCTGTGCTGCCCCTTTACAGTATTCTGCCTTTCTTGACCGCAGTGAATTTGGGCCACTCCTCACATGGGTTGTTAGAGTAGATGGACCCTGATGGATAGACCCTAATGGAGGGGAGTCTTAATGAGACGTTAAAAGTGCACTTGGGCTACTGAGTGAGCTCATTTCAGATTGTGTCTGTCTGGCCTAGCTAAGGAACCCAGCTCATCCATTTGCTTCTCATGGCAGGATTACATCCTCGTGGTGCCAGAAGAAAGCTACAGTTCTCAGTACCTGCAGGAAGAACCGCTGGACAAGTCCTATGACTTCATCAGCAGCTGTGGCATCAACAGCTTCTACATCAAGTGAGATCCTTGGCTTTGGGGTACCCTTTCTGCCATCCACAGGCTGCGTGTTCCTCAGGAAACAAAAGCAGCTGTGCTTGTACGCTTCGTGGGGCACTGCAGGTGGTAGGGGAGGGCAAGAGTTAATTGCTTTCCTTATCTAGCTGGGCTCTCCCTCCCACTAATTCAGTGTAAATTGCTGTGGGAGATCCTGCTGGATTTTGCACTGACGCCCAGTGTGGACTGGGGGAGAGGCGGCTGGGTGCTTAGCGCAGTGACTGCTTGCGCCTTCTTCTGCAGCCCCACCACATCCTCAAGGTTCTGCCGTGACTCTGCCATCTCACTCTCGCTCTTCTACAACAACGGGGCCCAGCCCTGCCGGTGCCACGAGGCTGGAGCGCGGGGCAGCCAGTGCGAGCCCTTTGGCGGGCAGTGTCCCTGCAAGCCCAACGTCATCGGGCGAGAGTGTTCCCGCTGTGCCACTGGCTACTGGGGCTTCCCTAACTGCAGGCGTGAGTTGTCCTATCACCCACCCAGGGGAAGCTCTGCTTTCCCCAGCTGTGTCCATTCTGCCTCCTGCCGGGGACTGACTGGGGAAACGGCTGCATTGTCCAGCCCTGGTTTCAGCCTGAGGTGGCTCCACCTATGCTGAGCAGGAGGCAGAAAACAGCCCCGCTCCCAGCAGCGTGGCTGAGGACCTCTTTCCCCCTTCCAGCCTGTGACTGTGGGACGCGTCTCTGCGACGAGGTGACGGGCCAGTGCATTTGCCCTCCGCACACGCTGAAGCCGGAGTGCGTCATCTGCGAGCCCCAGACCTTCGGCTGCCACCCGCTCATCGGCTGCGAGGACTGCAACTGCTCTCGGCCAGGCGTGCAAGAGCTGACGGAGCCGGGCTGCGATGTGGACAGTGGGCAGTGCAGGTGAGGGGCAGCGAGAGAGCATGTTTGGCAGCATCATCCACCTGCCTGGTCCTCAGGGGGTGACCTTGATACGTTAGCAGGATAGAAGATGCCTGTCAGTACTGCGTCCCATCCTGGCATGGGGCAAGCCCTGAACGCCTCACCACTCCATGGGATCGCAACGCAGAGGTTTCTAACTGCTGCTCTTGCGTCCCATCTAGGTGCAAGCCTAATGTCATAGGACGGCAATGTGACCTCTGCGCCCCCGGCTACTACCGTTACCCCAACTGCAGGCAATGCGACTGCCACCAGGCTGGCACCGAAGCGAGTGTGTGCGACCCAGTCACGGGGCAGTGTCACTGCAAGGTCAGTCCTCTGAGTGCCTTCACAGGGGGTGCTTCTGCTTAGCTGAACCCTCCTGCTCCAGCAGTACAACTTGTCATGCTTTGATAACTCACGCAGCTATGTCTGTACCCAACTAAAGCCTAGCGAGGAGCTGTTGATATGTCAAGCTTTGCCTGCCTTTGTCTTGCAGGAGAACGTAGAGGGCCCAAGGTGTGACCAGTGCCGCTTGGGGACGTTTTCTTTGGATGCCAGCAACCCCAAGGGTTGCACCAAGTGTTTCTGCTTCGGAGCGACTGATCGCTGCCGCAGTGCTGAGAAGTACCGAGCCGAGGTGAGCAGAGCCAGGGACCGTGGGCCTGCTAGAGCAGGCTGTCCAGATGTGTTCCCACCCTCCTGGCTCCCGATGCCCTCAGGTCTCCCGTCCTATACTAATCCTGCCCCTGTGGAAGATCTGATGTGAGGAGGGTTATATTCATCTTACTGTGCCCTTCTCCCACGTTCAGCCCCTTTTCCTGGCCTCGTGGGTGGGAAGCTGCTGTATTTGAACTTTGGTATTGTGCCATGGGAACTCCAGCAAGGCAGAAGGCTGGGGTGGTGCTTGGCTTCCCAATGACTTTGGGTTCCGCTGCAGAAAGAATTACTCTTCTGCAGTGTTAGCATCCAAATAGCTTCTGTAGCTCCACAAGGAGCTCTGGAAACATCTGTGGTTCCTGTTTCCCCCTTAGTTCGTCGACATGAGCGGGTGGGTGTTGCTGAGCAGCGACCGCCAGGAAGTGCCCACCACCCTGAGCCTGCGGGAGCAGCTCCTTCATGCCGATCTCAAGAACCTCCCTGAGGCGTATCAGGAGCTCTACTGGGTTGCACCCAGCTCCTACCTCGGGGACCGGGTAAGAGCACGTGCGTGGCCTTTGGCAGCTGGAGCAGTGGTCGCACACATCCCGGACATCCGCTGAGACACACGTGCTGGTGGCATGCCCAGCACCATGCAGGCGTTGCTCAATGCTCCCGTCGAGCACAGACAGCTGTGACATAGCTCACCACAGCCTATCTCGGTCCTGACTCACAGTGATATAACTCCCCTGTGTGATTTGGGTCTCCCCTAGGTTTCATCCTATGGTGGGCACCTGCGTTACGAGCTTCACTCAGACCCACGGAGGGGCGATGTGTTCATTCCCATGGAGTCCCGCCCGGACGTGATCCTGAAGGTACGACCTGAGAAATGCCCTCGTGCCTCCTGCTAACGTGTGAGCAGGATGAGATGGTGACTGACAACATCCTTACTTTTCCTAGGGAAATCAGATGAGCATCATGTTTCTGGAAGGCACCTACCCCTCGCCGGGAGAGGTGCACCAAGGCCGGCTGCAGCTGGTGGAGGTGAGCTTGCACACACAAGCACGCAGCAAGTTAAGTGCTCAGATGCTAATGGAAGGATAAGATTAGCATGTAGACAGAAGGGCGAATTGCTTTGAACTCAGTAGTTTTAAGTGCTGCCTGTTGCTACTAGTTCTTGGCACTTTCTTTTGTCTGAGCTCTCAAACATGCATAGAACAAATTTCTTGCAGGTTCCAAGGTCTGAGTCTTTCACTTGAAGCATCAAAAATGTGTGTTCTCTGCATCATTATCTTTGAGGCTGACATGAATTGCAGCAGCACAGATTGGCCTATTGGATGTCCATCCGCTCTCAGGGCTGGTGTCAGTCATTCTGGAATAAAGACGACTGTGGTGTAGTTTCAGACTTGGCAGCCTGTGTTAGATTCAGGGTTTTTGGTTGTGCCGGGTATGTCTTGTTAGACACAGCTCAGCTGCCCTAGGTTTCAGAGGCCTGTGGCCCGGTTGCTGGATGTGTGTGATAGTGAAACATTAAGACAATCCTAAGGTGTGGAAACACCTTGCTCCTAAAGCAGGCCAGCTGGCTTTCCTTGCACCTATGCAGCAGAAGTGGCTGTGAAGATCCCGGGGCTGTGTTGCCTGTGCAAAGGGGAGATATCGCAGCAGCAGGGCGGTGAAGGTTGGGCTGGATGTACGGCTGCCTGGCACAAAATAAGGGCTTGTGCTTCCTGCCAGTAATGTCAAGTCTTCTCCCACTAGGGAAACTTCAGGCACACGGAGACGCACAACCCTGTGTCCAGAGAGGAGCTCATGATGGTGCTGGCAAACCTGGAGCAGCTGCAGATCCGGGCGCTCTTCTCTCAGCTCTCCTCCTCGGTGTCCCTGCGCCGCGTGGTCCTGGAGATGGTGGCAGAGACAGCCACGGGCATCCGTGCCAGCAACGTGGAGCTGTGCTTTTGTCCAGCCAACTACCAGGGAGACTCCTGCCAGGTAGGGGCAAAAGGGGATGTGCCTGCTCCGGACAGAGTGGGATCAAACACCGTCCGCTCGGGCCTCAGCCGTCCCTCGTGTGCGGCGCAGTTGGCAGCCGCAGGGTTTGCACGTGCTGCACTGTATGCACAGCGATGGTGCCAGATCACCAGCCTCTAAGCCAACCCCTAAGGGCTCTAGTTTTAATTATAGCTCAGATTGTGCCCGAGGAAGAAACAACCGCTCCCGAGCTCCCCACGCACCAGCCTTTTCACAGGCTCCCTCCCACCACAGCACGACACACCTGGGAGATGTGGGTTAGGGCTCGTGGAAGAGGCATGGTGGGAAACTGCAGGAGTTACAGGCCAAAATTAAGGGCATGCAGTGCCTGGCGCAGGTCCTACTCCCTGGCCAATTGCTTGGCCAATTATCTCCTATCCACGAGAAGCAGGAAAGAGCTGCTCTGAGAAATCTTTAACTGTTGTTGCTTTTAATCTCTTCTCCATCGACACAACCCTGTGGGAATTCTGCAATGGAAAGTAAATCAGCCTCTTTGCTTTGCCTGAATGTGTCAGGCTGTTTTTCACATCTCTTTTTCTCTGTCCATAGGAATGTGCTCCTGGTTACTACAGGGACACCAAGGGGCTCTTTCTGGGAAAATGCATCCCATGTCATTGCAACGGCCACTCAGATCAGTGCCTGCCAGGGTCTGGGATATGCCTGGTGAGTAAACAGCCAGTGAAGTGCAGAGATTTTGGAGCTGGAAGGACTGTAGCCTGTGAGTGAAAGGTTCTTCACATGTAGACCATGTGTGAACTGACATATTAGCTGCATGTGCCGTTTCAGGGGTGGCCCGGGTCTGTGTCAGCTAGGGTGAAAGATAGGTCTGGGAAAGGAGGAGGATCAAAGCGTCCAGCAATTTGATGGGGAATTGTCTGTCCCGACCCCCCCATTCCCTCCCGTCTGTCCTTGTCCTTGCAGAACTGCCAGCACAACACGGAGGGGGACCACTGCGAGCGGTGCAAGGACGGCTACGTGGGCAGCCACTCGCTTGAAGGACTCTTGCAGTGTGTTGGATGCCCGTGCCCTCTTTCAGTTGCCTCCAACAAGTAAGTGCCTTTGGATGGTGTCCCCTTTCTGCGCCCACTGTTTAGCTGCTGGGAACCGGGCTGTCCCATGCCTGGGCACTGGTTGGGCCCTGGCAGATGTCCAGTAATAGCCTTGTCTGTGAGCTGGCCTCAAGCCTACTCGCTTACCCGAGGCCCCAGCAGTCCTTACTGGACGATCGACTCCCCTGGCACTACATAAGTGAGGTGACCGTTCCTTCGTGTTCACCCCTGTCGTTTCAGCTTTGCCATCGGTTGTGTCCACAAGGGCTCCAGCACACAGTGTCTCTGCAAGCCCGGCTACGCTGGACCGAACTGCGAGCGGTAAGAGTGATGGCACCCAGGGTTTCTGGGGCCGGGGCCACGCTAGCCGGTGCAGCCACCACTGTGGCAGAAGAGAAGTTGTCCTAGTAGAAACTGGTTGGCTCTGACCCAAGTGTGCTTCACTCTGGCAGGATTTGTTTCAATCCCTTTCCACCTGCAAATACCCTATTACTGTCTCCGCTGCTGATACATCATGTTGCTGTGGGTGCGTCCCTTCACTGTGCTTTGCTTTGACTTGCAGGCTGTGGTAAAGGCACCTCTCTGGGGTATCACGAGGCAAAGCACAAGGTGCTTTGAGGTCCCTGGGGCCTGGAGCAATGAGAGGCGTTGGATGCCTGCACGGCTTTAATTGCACAGGGCTTGCGTGGTGCAGGCCTGAGCTGCGGGGATCCCCCCCGATGCACCAGCTGTGTTTTAACATGCCGTATTTCTGCAGGTGTGCCCCCGGCTACTACGGCAATCCCTTGGTGATCGGCAGCTCGTGCCAGCCCTGCGACTGCAGCGGGAACACGGACCCCAACATGCTCTTCAATAGCTGCGACTCCCTGACGGGCGCCTGCACGGGGTGCATGCACCACACGGCGGGCGCGCGGTGCGAAGTGTGCGCCCCCGGCTACTACGGTGACGCGGTGACAGCCAAGAACTGCACACGTGAGTGGGGTGGACAGCGGGGCAGGGGGCTGCGAGCACCAGGAGGGAAGATGGACAGATGGACACCATGAACGTGTGCAGCCCCTTAGCTCTTCTGTGCTTTGCCCAGATGAATCATGCACTCGGCTGCCTGCGTGCTAGGGCAGGCAGCCTCTGAAAACTATAATAAGAAAAGAACAACTCCAAAAACTTGCCCTCCAGCATCACAGCTCCGTAACCTCCTCTCCACCCCCGTTTGCAAGCCTCTAAGCCGCGCTCAGGCTGAACGGTCTCAACCCGAGCAGCTCCCCCAGCAGTAGCGTCGGCGCTCGCCTGGCCGTCGTTCCCATCGGAGCGTAGGTTTGCCCAGCCCTTTCCCAACGCTCCTTGCCTCCCCTTCGAGGAACAGCAGCCAAATTACAGGTCCAAAAAGGGGATCTGTCCTGGACAAGAGTCACAGCAAGAAGTTGCTGGCAGGAGCAAATCCAGGAGAAGAGAGGGTCTATGTTCGCTCTGCTTGTGAAAGACAAGGGGAAGATGGGATTCCCCTCTGTGGGTGGCTGACTGGTCTCTTCAGTTCACCATGTAACGGGGTGTGTTTTTCCCCGGCAGAGTGCGACTGTTCGCCTTGCGGGACTGACTCGTGCCATCCGCGAACCGGCCAGTGCTTCTGCAAGCCTGGAGTGACGGGCCAGCAGTGCGACCGCTGCGGGGGACCGGGAGCCCCGCCGCCCCGGCGGGGGGGGGCCCCCTGCCGATCGGATGAGCTCCTAGTCCCTTGGGTGAATCTCCGACGTTATCTGCAAAAGGGATGTGGCTCCACCAGCATCTCTCTGCTAGTGGGGGGTAG